AATTCCACAACATTTAATAATTCAATGAATGAATCAACAAATCTTCCGAAAACAAATTATCAACCAGGAGGACAACAACATAAACCTGTTATATTAGATACAACAAGTAATAAAATTCTTGGTCAAACAAAAATCTTTAAACAACCCATAAATAATACGGGATTAAAAAAACCAACAACATTAGCAAATGCTGAATATACATTTGTTGTTGATAAAAATAACACGACACAACGAAATGATATTACATTACCATCAAGTTCATTAGCTCAACCAAGTGCACAACATAAAGCAGATTGGACTATCTTAGCATTACCGGGACATATGCACGATGAACTTGAACTTGATACAACAATGACGTGAGTTGACAAAGGGACTTGCTTTCTCACGAAAAAAAAACATTTGCATAAATTCCATTTATGTTCGAGATAAGCGAACTATTCTGCATATTTCTTTTAACATGAAATGCCATTGTATGCATATCTACACATCGTTACTTAGGCATGCAGAACAGTTCGAATTTACTAATAATTAATTCTTTTAAAGGTCTTTATTTACGATTGTTTTTCTTCTTTAGTGATACAACTCATACTTCAGCTGATGGTGATTATGGTATTGATGATGTACGTTCAGATCAAGATTCAGATAATGACGATGAAGATGAAACTCGTATACCAAACTGGGCTAAAGGTTTGTAGCGGTTTTTTTTGTTTTGTTCTTCAAAGAAATAATTTATATATTTCTAGAACGTTTATTTCAAACATTTTGGAAAACACAAGGTCATTGGTATTTATCACGTCGAACTCTTAAATTAACACGTCGCACATTAGGACATTATCCTGTAATAAAAGATGAACTTCAAACATGGTTAAAAGAACTTAAATCAAGCAAACCATTATCAGAAACATTTACCGATGCAACATATCTTGATCAAACACAAGCACAACATTTTTTTTGAATAACTTTCAGATCCTATATATATCTATCTATGTGTATGTGTGATTTTTTTTGGGTTCTCTGGTATTTTCTATTTCAATACGTCAGATAAGATTATTTTCTATATATTCAACAAAAAAAA